GTTAGCCACTGCTAGCCGTGCACTTGTCTGGCTTGCCATTTTACTTACTTCGTTTTCTACCTACCTTGAAATGCTATTTTAAACGGCACATTGTAGTTTCTGCAATTTTCAAATGTATACTCTCCGTTTGCAATGAACGTTTAATGAAGGAAATAACGGACAGAAATGTAGAGGACTCGGAAGAGAGACCCCGATGTGTAGAGTCGCACGCTTCCGGTCTGGTGGATTATGGGATATGTAGTCAACATAAATATGGGAAAAATTAAAAGCTACTAGCTTACTACGACTCGTACTACGTTTTAGAAATAATGAAAGTTTAGAGCACAAAATAATCCAAATCCAAGCAAACAGAGTTTAATTAAAAGACTCGCATTGTGCACTGTGAGAAAGCTTTTATTTGATGACATACTTTTCTGAATCTAGAAATAATACTAAATAATGTGGTTTTGAACATGAAAATGCCACAACACAAGGTAAACATGTCTGTTTTTAAATGTATCTTTAAAACTTTTCTTTTAATCTGCAAAAAGTAAGCTAGTTTGCATTATTTTTCAAAATTAAAATAACATTTAACAACAGTAGCATTAAAACCATTTTCGCATAGTAAACCTTAAGCTGTAAGCTTGCATCGCCCCACTGTTAAGTGGCATCTGTATTTAGTAAATACAATATTATACACATGAATCTAAATGTCAGCTGAATCCGGCCCCTCGTCCCGCAACACTGGCTGTTCATGGCTGTCAGAGGTCGGTGTGCCGGTGTTCTCTTGAGAGGGGTCTTCAGAACAGCAGCTAATGGTGGGCGATATCACATCAGGGCTTGTGTCACATGACTCCGTGCTCTGTTCGGATGTTGCAGTGGTAGTGATGGTGGTGGCCATGCTGGGAGGAATGGGGTCAAAGTCATCATCGTCATCATCATCATCATCATCATCCTCCAGGTTGGAACATTCATTGATGTCTGTTACAAAGGAAGACACTATAATTTATATAATTTATATTATACCCGACCATTCAGAAGTGTCACATGATCATTCTAGAACGCTGATTGGCTGCTTAACAAATATTTCTTATTAATATCAATGTTGAAAACAGTTGTGCTGCTTAATATTTTTGTGGAAACTGTGATACATTTTCCAGGAGTCTTTGATGAATAGAAAGTTCAAAAGAACAGCATTTATTTGAAATCGAAATCTTCTGTAACATTATTAATGTCCTTTTTGTCACTTTTTAATGCATCCTTGCTGAATAAGTATTAACAAAGTTTTAATTTATAAAAATCTTACTGACCCCCAAACTTTTGAACTGTAGTATATTAGTGTTTTTTTTATATTGGTAAATATAGGAATTTTAAATTGTGGATGCTCATTTTTTGTTTTTAGGTTATTTGTATAATCATTTAGCAGAAACTACAAAGAGGATAATGCTAGATTATTTTTTTTAAACTGAAGATTTACCAATTTTGTGATTAGTCTTTCCTAGATGTCACAATATAACGTGTACAAAAACTACTGATTTTCATTTCTGCTAACAGTAGCTTAATCGTAGTGCATGCTAATACAAAATACAGCATTATAACTTACTGCAGAAGGCCTCTGGATATTGTTTCGCAACCTTGCCTTTTAAAGTCCTGTGGAAACACAAATGATCTTATGCATAGGAAATAACTAATGTTACACAATATATTGTATTATTAGGCTTGATAATATATATTATTTAATATAATAATTACTTTAGTATGAAAAATATAAAAATTATATTTTGTGACATTGTTTGCATTTTCAAACTTGCATGACAAACCAGCTGGAATGTGTTCATTTTATCATACACATGCTTGTAATGGAGGGAGACATGTTCATGTCAGATCTTAGGTCTCCCACCTCATCATAATTAATGTCTTAAGTTGTGAATATAATACCTTATTCGTCTGAAAATGCTGTCCAAGTCTTTCTTCATCTCTATTAAAGTGCGGGTGTGCGTTAGAAAGTGTTCATTCATCTGTTGTAAGCGCACATTGGACAGTCCGTTGAAGTTGATCAGCATCTCATTGGTCTTCTCAAAGCGGTCCAGCCTGGAATACATGAATACATGCAGCAAAATCAGCTTGAAAGCATAATAAATAACGTTATGCTGCCTAGGCAGGTCACTAGATAGGGAAACCCACATGTGTCTCTGAGCTTGAATGATGGCGTTCACGTCTTCAGAGTTCACCATACTGAGCATTCTGTTACAGAATATTCCCGATGCTGTGGGCTCCATGATGACGCTTTTTATAAAACACAAGAAGCGTTAATAATAATTCAAATCAACAACGAACTGTTAGATACAAGTATAGCCTAGTCGCTTAACTTACGTATATTCACTGACTAGTTTGCGTCTTGTTTGGTTTTATTTTAAGAACGTCTTCATCAGATGCAGAAGCTTTTTTGCAGAAATGCTATATTTGTGAAACGATAAAAAAAATTACCGCACCGGAAAGCAGGCAGACATTTTTGTTGTGATGTTGTCATATGATCACGTGAGAGTGGCGTAATTCGGGAGGCGGGATCACGGAGATTTTGTAAGCGTTGATTGGCTCTCCAGAAAAACTGGTGTGATTAATTTTTAATAATGATTAATTTTATTTTAGATTTAATATTAACGAATAAATAACAATGAGCCTAATAATGAATAACGCATGAATGATTTTCAACATTTTTAAACATAACATTTTTAATGCTAGATTGCCTAGATACGTAATTAATGTTTTTTACATAAAACAACGCATGCATTTTTTTAATCGTCCTGTAATGACAAATATATTAGATATGTGTCACATGAGGATACATATCTCATATACTGTATATTTGATGCACATATTATGTATTTTTATATATTTCATATTAAATTATAACTTATAACTTACAAATATTAATAATTAAAATTTTATTTTAAATAATTATTGATAATGACTATTTCAGGTAAAATAATGTGTCACATGAAGAGGATAACTAGTTTTGAAATGTAATATAAAAATAATTTTTCTGGCACCACAATAAAGCACACTGCAATATCACTTCAAATCAAATCTCTGGCTCGAGGGGCCGGCTGTGTCAAGTCCAGCAAACAAACACTGTGCTGGTGCTGGTTGTCTAGGCTCAGACAGCCCAGAAGGCATCTCAGGTTCTGCTGGAGCTTGTGGGAAATGTCACGGTGAATGGGCTTTGCATGATTTGTTTCTACCAGACATGTGCAGGTTCCTCTTCTGCCTTTGACCTTAACAGATAACACTAACTTCTCATAATGTCACACATAACTGACGAAAAGATGGTTGGTTTCTGATTCAAAGGCCTATCTGAGAATATGAGAACACCCCTGCAACAATCCCCACCCCCAGTGTGTTTATTGTGTTACAATGCTATTTTAGAATTTGATGTTGGCTTTATGTTATAATTAACACTCATATGTGACCCTGGACAACAAAACCAGTCATAAGGGTCAATTTGAGATTTAATTGAGATTTATACACACACACACACACACACACACACACATACAGGTGCATCTCAATAAATTAGAATGTCGTGGAAAAGTTCATTTATTTCAGTAATTCAACTCAAATTGTGAAACTCGTGTATTAAATAAATTCAATGCACACAGACTGAAGGAGTTTAAGTCTTTGGTTCTTTTAATTGTGATGATTTCGGCTCACATTTAACAAAAACCCACCAATTCACTATCTCAACAAATTAGAATATGGTGACATGCCAATCAGCTAATCAACTCAAAACACCTGCAAAGGTTTCCTGAGCCTTCAAAATGGTCCCTCAGTTTGGTTCACTAGGCTACACAATCATGGGGAAGACTGCTGATCTGACAGTTGTCCAGAAGACAATCATTGACACCCTTCACAAGGAGAGTAAGCCACAAACATTGCCAAAGAAGCTGGCTGTTCACAGAGTGCTGTATCCAAGCATGTTAACAGAATGTTGAGTGGAAGGAAAAAGTGTGGAAGAAAAAGATGCACAACCAACCGAGAGAACCGCAGCCTTATGAGGATTGTCAAGCAAAATCGATTCAAGAATTTGAGTGAACTTCACAAGGAATGGACTGAGGCTGGGGTCAAGGCATCAAGAGCCACCACACAGACGTGTCAAGGAGTTTAGCTACAATTGTCGTATTCCTCTTGTTAAGCCACTCCTGAACCACAGACAACGTCAGAGGCGTCTTACCTGGGCTAAGGAGAAGAAGAACCGGACTGTTGCCCAGTGGTCCAAAGTCCTC